GACGGAGTTTCGCTCTTGTTACCCAGGCTGGAGTGCAATGGCTCGATCTCAGCTCACCGCAACCTCCGCCTCCTGGCTTCAAGCAATTCTCCTGCCTCAGCCTCCTGAGTAGCTGGGACTATAGGCACGCGCCACCATGCCCAGCTAATTTTTTGTAGTTTTAGTAGAGACGGGGTTTCACCATGTTGACCAGAATGGTCTCGGTCTCTTGACCTCGTGATCCACCTGCCTCGGCCTCCCAAAGTGCTGGGATTACAGGCGTGAGCCACTGCACCCGGCCTAGCTTATTATTTACCGCAGAACCTTGAGACCACTCGGGAACCTACCCTTTGTGCTCTTTTTCTTCAACTTCAGCAATTTATAGGTCAATATACACATCCTATTTTTATTACAGACAGTTGAGCCTACAACTCACTTCCTGGCCCATTGGTTTATGGCAATAATCAAGCAGACCTTCAGATTATGACATCACTGCTTGACCAAGCCATGCAATTGCATCACTTTTTCCATCAAAATTGGGTAAACTTATCTAAACAATTTCAACTTACCCAGATACTGGATAAACAAAGTATCCTACAATGCTGGGATTGCCAGCTCACAGGCACATCACCGCCTTCAACAGGTGTTAACTCTACAAGATTAGAACCTAATCAGTTATGGCAAACAGATGTTACATCCCTGCATTTGGAAAACTAAGATATGTACATGTATTCACTGACACAAACACTCATTTAATCAGTGCACACACCATCCCTGGAGAGTTTTCTCAATGTCATTAGATATCTTTTAACATTTGCATTTATGGGACAGGCCCCAAAAATAAATGATAATGGTCCGGCTTGTGCCAGTTCACAATTTCAATAATTTTGTCACACGTGGAATATTCAACATTTTATAAGCATCCCATATTACCCACACTTGCTTTTTAATGAGAGTCATTCTAACAGGAATGAGTTGATATCTCATAGTGTTTTTTTTGGCTTGCCTGTTTGTGATAATTGACATTGAATGTTTTTAAATATATCCGTTGGCTATATGTTTGTATATTCTTGAAAAAATACTTATTTCAGCTATTTGCTTATTTTTAATGATTTTTTTGTTGTTGTCATTTGAGTTTTTAATGTATTTTTGCTATTAACCCCTGTATAATTTACAAATATTTTCTTTCTCTTTTTAATTGTCACATTCTGTTGATTGTATCAGATTCTGTGAAGCGGCTTTTTAATTTGAAGTGATCTAACTTATTTATTCTTCCTTTTGTGTCCTGAGATATTTAGGTTAAATTTAAAAACTTGCTGCCCAGACCAACGTTTATGGGGCTTTGACTCCATTTTTTGGTACTAGCAGTTTCAGAGTTTTAGGCCTTACATTAAATTGGCTAATTTATTTTAAGTTTATTTTTAACGTATGATGTGAGATGAGGGTCTCAATTTTCTTTCTCTGCATATGGATATAAAGTTTTCTTAACATCATTTATTGAAAACACTGTTCTTACCTTTAAACAAAGTCACCTTTATTTAAAATCAGTTAGCTGTAAATACATGGATACATTTCTGCTCTTTTTTTCTTCTACTCCATTGGCCTATGTCTCTGTTTTTATTCAAGTACCATACTGTTTTGGTTACCATAGCTTTGTGG